ATCAAATACAAAAAGAGCTAAAAATGAATAGATATGATATGACTCTCCGAGAACGTTATAAAACAGAAAAGAAACATGTCAGATCTCTCATCAGTGTAAGTAAAAAAGACTTTTACAAAAAACAATTTAATAACTCTAGACATGATACAGCAGCAACATGGAAAGTGATAAGAAGCATGATACCAAATGAAAAGAGTACCTCAGAAAGATATGAAAATATTACGTAGTTGAAAGACAAAGCAGATAACTTTAATAACTATTTTGCTAACGTTGGCAAAAATACATATGAAAAAACTCAAGAAAACATCAACTCAGTGAATATGAGTAATTGCTTAAATGACAATTCTTCCAACGAAAACACAAGAGAGTACTTCAAGATAAATCCTATCGATTGTGCTACCCTAATTCTTACAATAAAGATCCTAAGAAACTCTGGCTCTTATGGTTCAGATGGTATACCATTTCAGTTCATCAAAGATGCTCTACCCATGATTGCATCCTATATTCTAACTATTATGAACACTTGCATTGTTACTAAAAAGTTTCCTGACTCTTGGAAAATATCACATGTAATACCTCTGCATAAAAAGGGAGACAGAGAAGATGTGACAAACTATCGTCCCATTTCCCTGCTACTCATTTTCTCTAAAATAATAGAAAAAATTGTTGCATGCCAACTTATGTCATATTTAGAATCAAATAGACTACTAACGATTAACCAACATGGTTTCAGACCAAAACTCTCGACGGAAACTGCACTGCTTAAAGTTACGAATAGTATATATAATAATATAGATATGAAAAAAATATCTTTGCTTATATTACTAGACTTATCAAAAGCCTTCGACAGTGTAAACCATGAAATTCTTTTAAGTAAATGTATTAACTTAAATACTGATCCAAGCTGGTTTAGCGAGTATCTATCTAATCGTAAACAGTCCATACGTCTTAACAACATTATCTCTGTGCCAAAAAATGTATCATTTGGTGTTCCACAGGGATCAGTACTTGGTCCTATCCTCTTCTCCATTTATGTAAATGATCTATCTTCTTTCATTTCTGACTGTCTAGTCGTACAATATGCAGATGACACTCAACTACTCCTTAGTGGTGATATTAATAATCTCCCAGAGCTAACTTTAAGAGCAGAAAACACCCTGTCAAAAATTAAAACCTATTTCCAAGAAATTGGGCTGTTAATTAACGAAAGTAAAACACAGTGCATATTTATTGGTTCAAGGTTCCACATAGCACAAATTCCAGAAAACACAACAATTAATTTTTGCGACAATATTATCACACCTAGCAAAACAGTCAAAAACCTAGGAATTCACTTTGATAACCACATGTTGTTTGATTCCCACATAGATAAAGTATGCAAAAAGGTTACAGGAACATTAATGTACTTATCACGTATAAAAGACAATTTTGAGACTACCACTCGAATAACTGTTGTTGAATCTCTAGCCTTAAGTCACATTAATTACTGCACAACTGTCTGGGGAGCTACCACTAAGACTCAGATAAACAGAATACAGAAGCTTATTAACTTTGCAGCTCGAGTTGCCCTGGGAGGAATAAGAACATATGACCACATCACACCAGCTCTCAATAAACTTTGGTGGCTGCGGGCAGAAAATAAGGTCGCTTATGCTATTTATGTTTTTGTATTCAAAATTTTGGACCATCATTATCCTAGCTGGCTATTTGATTTAAAAACAGTCAGGGATATAAGGGGAACCAACACAAGACAGAGCAGTGAGCTCTTTATTCACAGAACAAACACAGAAGCAGGTTCAAAGATGATCACTATCAAAGGGCCAACACTCTGGAATAATATTCCAGAGCATCTTAAAAATGCATCCTCCTTCACAGCTTTCAAAGGCAAACTATATAGCTTTCTTTTGGACAAATAGTTGCTGCTCATTAAGAACTAATTATTCTCATTGTAAGGAAACAAATATGGAAATGATGACGATAATAACGATCCTGTATCTAGTGGCATACTTACTACTTTATTATTAACATTATTGTTAACATTTTTATTACAGCATTATTATTTTCTATGAAAGCTACATTTAATTTAACTATATGTCTAACCCTCTTATTTATTAGTTTAATTACATGTCTACTTATAAGTTACTATTAATGTTGAATAACCATTGTACAAAATGGAAATAAATGTTTGTTTGCTTGTTTGTTTGTTTATGCCTAGAGTGTAAAACCTTTTGTGGTTTCAGTAGTAATTATTATTGATTCTAGAGTGCCGTCATTTAAAGGAATTTTCTGTTCAAATACTTTGACACTAGTAAAATAATTGAAATTCCCAGCAATGCTAGTGAGTGTAAAAAAAAAAAAAAAAAAAAAAAAAAAATATATATATATATATATATATATATATATATATATATATATATATATATATATATATATATATATATATATATATATATATATATATATATATATATATATACAAATAAGCACATTACAATAAGTGATAACATGAATCATTTTTACCCCGATTGGGATTTAAACCTGGGACTTATAATTACAAAGTCAAGGTGCTACAGCTATACCACAGAAGGTTAAAAGGGAAAGAAACCTTCCAGCTTATATATGCTATACTTAGGAATGAATGCATTCTATCTGAATGCCACAATTTTCATTTTATCAGCTTCCTCCAATCTCACTCGTGGTTTCGTTTTCGCATTTAATTCAACTCCCAATCTCATTCGGGACCAACAATAGCCAAATAAGCACAGTACCATATGTGAAAACATGAATCATTTTTATCCCGACAGGGACTTGAACCTGGGACTTGTAACTAAGCCACAGAGCCACCAACAACACCACAGAAGCTTAAAAGAGAAGCAAACATTACAGCTTGTATCTGTTATACTTAGGAATAAATGCATTCTATATGAATGCCAATATGTTCATATTACAGTTTTCCCCAACCTCTCTTATGGTTTTATTTTTGAAATTTAATTAAAATAAATATCTAATTCTGGACCAACAATAACCAAATAAGCACATTACCATATGTGAAAACATGAATCATTTTTTACCTGACCGGGACTTGAACCTTGGAATTATAATTACTAAGCCAAGGCACTACCAACTACACCACAGAAGGTTAAAGGAGAAACAAACATTGGAGCTTATATCTGCTATACTTGGGATTTAACGCATTCTATTTGAATGCCACTATGTTCATATTACAGTTTCCCCCAACCTCACTCGTGGTTTCGTTTTCATAATTAATTCAACCCCCAATCTCATTCGAGACCAACAATAACTAAATAAGCACATTGCCATATGTGAAAACTGAATAAATTTTACCCCGACCTGTACTTGAACCTGGGACTTATAATTACTAAGCCAAGGTGCTACCAACTACACCAGAGAAGGTTAAAAGGAAAACAATCATTACAGCTTATATCTGCTATACTTTGGAATAAATTCATTCTATCTGAATGCCACTATGTTCATAGTGCAGTTTCCCCCAACTTCATTCGTGGTTTCGTTTTCGCATTTAATTCAACTCCCAATCTCATTCGGGACCATCAATATCATAAATAAGCACATTATATTATGTGAAAACAAAAATCATTTTTACTTCTTCTGCGGTGTACTTTGTAGCCCCTTGGCTTAGTAATCATAAGTCCCAAGTTCAAGTCCAGGTCGAGGTAAAAATTATTCATATTTTCACATGTGGTAATGTGCTTATTTGGGTATTGCTGGTCATGAATGAGTTTGGGAGTTGAATTAGATCAAAAACGAAAGCACGAGTGAGGTTTGGCAAAGCTGTAATATAAACATAGTGGCACTCACATAGATTGTGTTCATTCCTAAGCATAGCATACATAAGCTGTAAGGTCTGCTTCACTTTTATCTTTCTGTGGTGTAGTTGGTAGAACCTTGGCTTAGTAATTATAGGTCCCAGGTTCAAATCCCAGTTGGGGTAAAAGCGAATTTTGTATTTAAATATGTTAATGTACTTATTTGGTTATTGTTGGTTCCGAATGTGATTGGGAGTTGAAATAAATGCAAAAACGAAACCACGAGTGAAGTTGGGGGAAACAGTAATATGAACATAGGGGCAATCAGATAAAATGGGCTCATTCCTAAGAATAGCAGATATAAGCTGTAAGGTTTATTTTCCTTTTAACCTTCTGTGGTGCAGTTGGTAGCTCCGTAGCTTAGTAATTACAAGTCCCAGGTTCAAGACCCGGTCGTGGTAAATATTATTCATGTTTTCAGAAATGGTAATGTATTTATTTGGTTATTGTTGGTCACAAATGAAATTGGGAGTTGAATTAAATGCGAAAACAAAAGCACGAGTGAGGTTGCAGAAAATGTAATATGAACATAATAGCATTCAAATAGAATGCATACATTAATAAGAATAGCAGATATAAGCTATAAGGCTTGTTCCCCTTTAAACCCTCTGTGGTGTAGTTGGTAGCATCTTGGCTTAGTAATTATGAGCCTCAGGTTCAAGTCCCGATCGGGGTTAAAATAATTCCTAGTTTCACATATGGTAATGTGCTTATTTGGTTATTGTTGGTCCCGAATGAAATTGGGAGTTTAATTAAATGCGAAAACGAAACCACGATTGATGTTGGGGGAAACTGTAATATGAACATAGTTCCATTCAGATTGAATGCGTTCATTCTTAAGTAAAGCAGATATAAGCTGAAAGGTTTGTTTCCCTTTTAACCTTCTTCAGTGTAGTTGGTAACGTCTTGGCTATGAAACTATAAGTCCCAGGTTCAAGTCCCAGTCGGAGTAAAAACGATTCATGTTTTCACATATGGTAACAGGCTTATTTGGTTATTGTTGGTCCCAAATGAGATTGGGAGTTAAATTAAATGTGAAAACGAAAACACGTGTGAGGTTTCGGGAAACTGTAATATAAATATAGTGGCATTCAGGTGGAATGGGTTCATTCCTAAGTATAGCAGATATAGGCTGTAAGGTTGGTTTCACTTTTAACCTTCTGTGGTGTAGTTGGTAGCACCTTGGCTTAGCAATTGTAAATCCCAGGTTCCATTCCCGGTTGAGGTAAAATTTATTCATATAAAAGTATATATATATATATATATATATATATATATATATATATATATATATATATATATATATATATATATATATATATATATATATATATATATATATATATATATATATATATATTTAGGAATGAACACATTCTAACTGAATGCCACTATGTTCATATTACAGATTCCCCAACCTCACTCGTGGCTTCATTTTAGCATTTAATTCAAATCCCAATCTCATTCGGGCCATTAAATTATCAAATAAGCACATTACATATATGTGAAAACATGAATCATTTTTTACCCCGACCGGGACTCGAACCTAGGACTTATGATTACTAAGTCAAGGCGCTACCACTACACCACAGAAGGTTAAAAGGAACCCAACCTTATAGCTTATATCTGCTATACTTAGGAATGAACGCAATCTAACTGAATGCCACTATGTTCATATTACAGATTCCCCACCCTCACTCCTGGCTTCATTTTAGCATTTAATTCAAATCCCAATCTCATTCGTGCCATGAAATTATCAAATAAACACATTACATATATGTGAAAACATGAATCATTTTTTTACCCCGACCGGGACTCGAACCTAGGACTTATGATTACTAAGACAAGGCTCTACCACTACACCACAGAAGGTTAAAAGGAACCCAACCTTATAGCTTATATCTGCTATACTTAGGAATGAACGCATTCTAACTGAATGCCACTATGTTCATATTACAGATTCCCCAACCTCACTCCTGGCTTCATTTTAGCATTTAATTCAAATCCCAATCTCATTCGTGCCATGAAATTATCAAATAAACACATTACATATATGTGAAAACATGAAACATTTTTTTACCCCGACCGGGACTCGAACCTAGGACTTATGATTACTAAGACAAGGCTCTACCACTACACCACAGAAGGTTAAAAGGAACCCAACCTTATAGCTTATATCTGCTATACTTAGGAATGAACGCATTCTAACTGAATGCCACTATGTTCATATTACAGATTCCCCAACCTCACTCCTGGCTTCATTTTAGCATTTAATTCAAATCCTAATCTCATTCGGGCCATGAAATTATCAAATAAGCACATTACATATATGTGAAAACATGAATCATTTTTTACCCCGACCGGGACTCGAACCTAGGACTTATGATTACTAAGTCAAGGCGCTACCACTACACCACAGAAGGTTAAAAGGAACCCAACCTTATAGCTTATATCTGCTATACTTAGGAATGAACGAAATCTAACTGAATGCCACTATGTTCATATTACAGATTCCCCACCCTCACTCCTGGCTTCATTTTAGCATTTAATTCAAATCCCAATCTCATTCGTGCCATGAAATTATCAAATAAACACATTACATATATGTGAAAACATGAATCATTTTTTTACCCCGACCGGGACTCGAACCTAGGACTTATGTTTACTAAGACAAGGCTCTACCACTACACCACAGAAGGTTAAAAGGAACCCAACCTTATAGCTTATATCTGCTATACTTAGGAATGAACGCATTCTAACTGAATGCCACTATGTTCATATTACAGATTCCCCAACCTCACTCCTGGCTTCATTTTAGCATTTAATTCAAATCCCAATCTCATTCGTGCCATGAAATTATCAAATAAACACATTACATATATGTGAAAACATGAATCATTTTTTTACCCCGACCGGGACTCGAACCTAGGACTTATGATTACTAAGACAAGGCTCTACCACTACACCACAGAAGGTTAAAAGGAACCCAACCTTATAGCTTATATCTGCTATACTTAGGAATGAACGCATTCTAACTGAATGCCACTATGTTCATATTACAGATTCCCCAACCTCACTCCTGGCTTCATTTTAGCATTTAATTCAAATCCTAATCTCATTCGGGCCATGAAATTATCAAATAAGCACATTACATATATGTGAAAACATGAATCATTTTTTACCCCGACCGGGACTCGAACCTAGGACGTATGATTACTAAGTCAAGGCGCTACCACTACACCACAGAAGGTTAAAAGGAACCCAACCTTATAGCTTATATCTGCTATACTTAGGAATGAACGCATTCTAACTGAATGCCACTATGTTCATATTACAGATTCCCCAACCTCACTCGTGGCTTCATTTTAGCATTTAATTCAAATCCCAATCTCATTCGGGCCATGTAATTATCAAATAAGCACATTACATATATGTGAAAACATGAATAATTTTTTACCCCGACCGGGTCTCGAACCTAGGACTTATGATTTCTAAGTCAAGGAGCTACCACTACACCACAGAAGGTTAAAAGCCACAAGTGAGGTTGGGGAATCTGTAATATGAGCATGGTGGCATTCAGTTAAAAAGCGTTCATTCCTAAGTACAGCAGATATAAGCTATAATGTTGGGTTCCTTTTAACCTTCTGTGGTGTAG